TCCTAACAAACTTCCTAAAATTTCCTAAAATTAATATAGACGAGAAAAATATATCGGTTCGAAAAATATATAATTAATCTCACTAAAATAAGGAATATTGCCATTCCACAGTTCTCTGTTTTTTTAAACAATAATACAAAGACAAACAGGATACATGACAAACTTACTTTTATGTATAAAAAAACTATAAAATTCTGTCAACAAAATCCGAATATTATTTTCACAAGAGCAGATAAGGGAAACACGACCGTAGCGATGACCAAGGAATTTTATGTATGTAAAGTTGAGAAACTATTAAAAGACAAATGTAATTACACAATAGTTAAAAACAATTCAATAGTAAAAATAGAAAAAGATCTAAATAAGAACTTAAAACAATGGTTGAAAAATGATTGGATCACTAAAAAAGAATATTATTTTTTAAGTTCTAGCGATTCACTGCTTCCCAAAGCATACGCCTTGCCTAAAATTCATAAAGAAAATGTTCCATTCAGATTAATAGTTTCATCAGTTAACATAGCATTACACCATTTAGCTACACATTTACACAACATTTTAGTGACAAGTTTACTTAAAGCGAATAGTCAAGTGAATAATAGTTTTGAATTATGTAACACATTGTCTGATCTTAAATTAAACAACAATGAAATAATTGTATCATTGGATATAATATCGTTGTTCACGAATGTACCTCTGGACCTTGCAATATAAATAACAGGTGGCATTATATTGAAAACCATACATTAATTGGCAAAAATAAATTTGTTAATGCTATTAAGTTCATTTTAACTTCAACTTTCTTTACTTTTAACAATACTATTTATAAACACATTCATGGAACCCCTATGGGATCGTCTCTATCTCCAATCATAGCAGATATGGTCATGCAAGATTTAGAAACTACGATACTTGATACAATTAATGCAAATGTAAGATTTTACTATCGCTATGTGGATGACATTTTAGTTTGCATGCCGGAGGATCAGGTCTCATATTTAGTTGAAAAATTTAATGATTATCACGATAGACTAAAATTTACAATAGAACGAGGAAACAACCGTTGCATAAGTTTTTTGGACATTTCACTCAAAATTATAAATAACATAATTCACATTGATTGGTTTCAGAAAAAAAAACATTTTCGGGTAGAACACTTTCATATTATTCAAATCATCCTGTGTCATAAAAAAGTGTCATATATAATCTAGTAGACCGATTAATACTATTATCACATCCTATTTTTCATAGTAAAAATTTAACATTAATCATAGAGATTTTATTAAGTAATGGTTATCCTCTCGATCTCATTTTCTCAGAAATTAATAGAAGACTGAAGTTCCTCATAGTTAATAGATTAAACACGAAATGACTTCTAATACGAATAATAATGACATAAATAATGACAACAATAAAAAATTTATAGCGATACCATACATTGAAAAAATCTCGGAATTAGTAGCATCAGAGTTAAAGAAATCTAATATAATAGTAGGATACAGAAATTTGAAAAAATTAAATAGAGTCATAAAAACACAAAAAGACAGAGATAATCGTCAGAATAATTCGGGTGTTATATATAAAATATCGTGCAATAATTGTGAGGCAACATATGTAGGGCAAACTAAAAGACAATTGGACAAAGACAAGAGTAAATGAACATAAAAATAATATCAGATTGGATCCTGCAAGACACTCGGTGGTTTCTGATCATATTGTAAAGTTTACACATACTTATAATTGGAATAATACAAAAATCTTGGATCACGAAAGGAATTATTATAAAAGGTTGATATCGGAAATGTTATACATTAAAGAAGAAAAAAACAGTATCAACTTAAAAAAGGACACCGAGCGACTTGACGGTTCTTATTTTGATATTTTAGAAAAATTGTCTATATCTTATACGGTATATATACAGCGTCCTGACATTGTAATTTACATATATTGAGTTTGCTTTTTACAAAGTATACATGGTTTATAATGTTTTTCAATAAGAAATATTTTAAAGAATTTTATCGTCTCGACATAGATGAAAGTGATCACTATCTATTTAAAAATCAAATATCCAATATTCAGGCTAACACATTAATTATTTCACAGCTTATTACATATCATTATTATATCATGAATTACAAAATTAGACGTTTATTTAAAAAGAACTACAGAAATCTGATGTTCGGGGTTAGGCTCTTTAAGGATTAATTCGAACGATCAGCCGTAATTTAAGCCAACAATTATAATGTGTTATACTGCGTTTTTCATATTATAAATCTATATATTTTACATGTATGATATAAGTTTTGTCTTTCCAAATTATTTGATTTATGGATATGTTAGCAAAGCGATATTTGTATTTGTATTGATAAAGACTGTCGTACAGTCGAAACGTTTACTAATTATCATTTGTATTATTTTCATGACTTAGAATAAATTGTCAACACCTAATTAATCAGCTCGTTAAGTTGGCCTTTTAATTTATAACTTATTTTAATTTTACAGGAGCCGAATTTTATTTCTCATTATATATATTTAATAAGTTTCACTCTATATTATATTTTATATTGTACGTGTATATTGATATCAACATGACATTGTGTAATTATCATTTATTTTTGAAATTTTATTTTATTCTTCTTTTCTCAAGTATATGTTAAATATTTATAAAAAATAAATTTATATTAAGTACTATAACATTAATATAAGATTTTAATAAATGTTTATGTATTTCTAATTTTTATTATATGTGTAATATTTGAAAAAATAAATATAAAATAACTTAAAAAAATTAAATAACAGCATAAGAGAATAATCCTCCAAATATTATACCTATAAATTTTTAATAAACATACAATATGAATATACATTAGCATAACATATTATTCAAATGCATATATAACAAAGTGTAAATGCGTTTAATATATATTTTGCTTATATGTAAGACGAACAATAGAAAAAATATTAGGAATAATTATTAAATATTAGAAGAATAATTTAATATATTATTATTACATATGAATAAAATATATGTTATAAATTTATATAGTTATGTATATATTTGTTATGTAGTATAGTGGCAACATTATGTAACATATATATAACATTTAAAGTACAGTGATATATATCTCTGATATATCAGAGAAGTACTTTTGTTGCTGACATTTAGTAGTACATGTAACATAGATGTATTATATTTTACTTATTATGTAACTATGTTACTTGTGATATATAATGTTATAACTCTGACAATGAGATATATATATATATATATATATATATATATATATATATATATATTACATCTCTGTGTTTGCTGGGAACGAAGTAAAAAATTTTTTTTGTAACTATAAAAATTTCTCAAAATTGTGACGTGATGAAATAAAATTTGGATTCGTATTCAGCATTCAAAAAACTATAAGAAACGACTAGTCTTCTGATTAATTTTTTTTTGTTGAACAGGGTTACAGATGCGATACGTTTATCTTGCGTAAGAAACATATAACGAGAGAATATTGGAAAACATTGGCACACATATATAAAATTGGTAATAGAAATTGTCATACATGTCTTCGGAATTTGTATAAAACAGGTCTTTTTATTCAAGAAATTAAACATTAATTCTTTCCATTATCAGTAAGCAAAGTTTACTTTTGTGAAGAGCGCGAAACCTACACAAATCTTACATAGAGAAGAGAAGCTTAATTCACATTAAAAATCAATTATAGAAAGAGATATTCTTTAAGATTACACCTGAGATTGTCATTGTTGTAATTTAAAAATCAACTTACAATAAGGATTATATTTTTCCTAACTTTCAAAAACTCTTCCATAAATTTTTACAAATTATTCAATGGCGATTGATTGTTATTTTCCAAATTGTTCGCAATTATATGAGATTATCTAACAATTAAAAAAACTTGAAAATAATTAAGTCGTTTGTCTACAATTGTTTATTTAACTGCAATTTCCGTATAACCGAGACTCTTCAGTATAACCGAGACTCCTCAATTCCCACTTCTGGATAGAAAGGCAAACTCGAGTTTTAAGTTCGATAAAAAGGATAACAAGACACGTGAGAGAGCTATCACCTTGAACCCTATAGTTTACAGACCGGCGGTTTCGCGTACGGTATTCCTCGGAACGCGATGTAATTGCGCCTTTCGAGGCGGAGTAAGGCCGCTGTGACCATATTTTCTCGATGATATCGATTAATTGGACCTGGCGCACGTCCACGGTCAGTCGCCGTACATGACGGACACTGAATGAATAATGCCAAAATCGGCGCTAGTAACCTGGCCGAGATCCACTCAGCGCGACTGTCGATATGTCTCCGTCGGGATTAATGCGGCCATATTTACGTTCACGCAATCAAACTTGGAACTTGGAAGCATATGATTATAAAACGAGTTAGATTGGCGAGGAATGATAATTCGTCATTTTTCGATGACAATCATTACGAATATCGCTGATAACATTATTGATAATAATTCGAGACTTATCATATACGTAGCGCGCAAATATCGATTTTGTATTTCTTGATTATCTTCTCGTTTACAAACTCATACGTCTAAGCCAAAAGAAGATAATGAATAGAAAAAAAATATAAATTAGTTTTTTCTTTCTTTTTTTCTCGAAAATTTCCTCACTGGATGAATGGGTCAGTCAAGCATGATTCAATAACAGTATTGTAACAACCCAGTTATCATTTTATAGGACATTAGTTTTTTTTCAAAAACAGAAAAAGGATTTAAATAAAGATACATGGAGAAAAAGAAAGACATTTTATTCTTAAAAGAATATATTTTTCATACGTTTAGGGTTTAATAAATTTTTAACCAAGAATTGTAAAATATTTTTAGGATTACTTTAAAAGTATTAAAAGTAAAAAATATTTGGAAAAATAATATATGTATACAGTATACATATTATTATTCTAAATATTGCATACAGTAAACATATATGTATACTATATCTACATACATATATGTATATACAGTATATATACATATATCTATACCTAAAAACAGATTATGTGCTTTAAAAAAAGGAGGATATTAAATTGAAAAAACAATTGAGCTTTGGTCACCATTGATACATTACTTTGTTTCTCACTGTCAGTCTTTTGTTAGTTTGTCAGTTTTTTGCACCAAAAGCTTCTTTTCAGAGCGATTCAATTTTAGTTAAATTTCTTCATATTTTATCTCATACTATAGGTCTGTGTGAAGTTTCGTGTAGTTAACGAATGGTTCTGTATCAGAAAATTGTTCCAATTTGGTATAACCTTTTAATAATATAAGTCTGTTCTCCCAATCCCATCGTTGGTTTTCTTTAATAAGAATCGTCATTCGAGGTTTTTTATTAATATTTAAATAATCATACGTAGTTCCATTTTTCACTGGAGACCACGTAAAATTAGCTGAAGAAGGTGTTGGATTTCTGCAATAAATGTGTAATTGATTATTATTACGTGATTGTACGATGTCACAATACATATTCGTATAAGAAATGTCAAGTCTACGGTACCCCGTTTTAGCAAAATTTGTCCACATCTGCGTTAAGTATTCCATAATTTTATAATCCGGCGTACCACGTGCAAATGGTAACACACCGAATGTTTTTCCTATATGAGGATAAAATAAATAGCCCAGTTCCTCGAAGTGAGATGTACCTGCAAAATATTGTTACGTAAATTAATTTCAAACGTTGATAATTTTTTCCATACATTACAAGTGCATTATAAAATTTATATCTAAATGTTCTCTAAATCATTTTAATCAAATTTCTTCAGAACTACGTGTGTCTTCTTACAATCATATGTATATAGAAAAAAATTTCACATTTACTTCTTTTCTAACTGTAATATTAATTTGATTCTTACATAGTTCTACTTTAATTAACAACGCAATACCTGAAAGCGGCTTTTGAAAAAATATTTTCTTCACAGGAGAGGTTTCACTTTCGTACGAAAATTTGTACAAGTAAGTCGACTCGTTAATATTAGAATTTATTTGAGTATCAATTGCTTGTATAATGCCTCTATAGATATGCTGATCGCCGATAAAATCAGAAAGATTCTTTATAGTTTCCTCCGACACTGTTTTATTACCAAAATACAATGATCGTAATTCTGGTACCCTGATCCCAAGTTGTAGTAATTGACGCAAAACTCTAGGATATATGGCTTTCTTGAAATCATAATCAATTTCCTTTAAAGTCTCGTAGTTTACCACTGAAACAATTTTTATAACGATTTTTATTTTAATTTTATTTGGTTTTGTTTATTTTAAATTTGATTTGAGTTTTTAATTTTTATAATAATCTTTTATTTAAATATTATAAATAAATATGTAGCTCTATTACGTTGAAACAAAACGGTTTTATTAATAAGTAATTAATAATTTTTTGTACATTTAAAAGATATATATTGATGAAATCTTGAAACTTATTAATATTGATTAAATTTATTATAACATTCCACGTACATCAAAACACTTTCAAAATATTGCAGATCGCTTTTCTATGAAAATTTTATATGAAACAGTGATTCATGATATACTAATAATTAATAATGTGTAATAATGAAAAGCAAAAGCAAATATATATACTTACGACCGACCACAATGGCATTTATGAAAAATTGCCTTCCTGGCTATTATATCCGAACATGATTGGCATTTCAATTCCATTACGTAATAATTGCAATGGATTTTCTGGTAAAAAAGGATTCGATGACTTGGAATCCACGGTCGGCGTAAATGCAAGCAAAATATCTAAGCCAATCTGCAAGAACATAATATTCTTAATATAGAAAAATAGTTTATAGTAATTCATCGAAAATTATTATTGCAATAATCGTAATAGAGCGTCAAAAAACCTCCGCTGTTATCAATTTTCTTCCGTCTACGTCTTTCAGAAATTTCAAGGCGTCTTCCAAATCAACAGTCGCATTACCAAGCTTCTGGGCTAACATCAGACCGTTATTGATAGCATCGTCTTGTTCAGTGAAAGCCCAAGGAACTGTCATGACACCACTTTGACATATTGCTTTATGAAATAAACCTGTTAAGTACATAATATAATTGACACTTAAAGTTTAATATGACTTGATCATGAGATTTTTCATTTTTCCTCTTTGACTCGATATGACACATAAAATTAATCAGCGTGGTTTTAATTTTCAATTCTCAATTTAGAATCGATATTTTTTTACTGAAGGATGTTATCAAGTATCTTCTAAATAATTTTCTACGATGTTTTAAAACGTCGATATTATATAATTTGCAATCGAAATTTAAGTTACAATAAAAAAAAAACCTTATTAAAAATTTTTTTGCTACAGTAAATCTATAAAATTTTTTAATTTTTTTTTGTGTAAAATGTGTTTCTAATATTCTTAATATATGTATATTAATATCATGTCCTGTTGATTCGTACCTTTAGCTAACGGTGAAATAGTTAGATAGTGAACTATCACTCCACCCGCATTTTGACCAAAAATTGTGACGTTATCGGGATCTCCACCGAATTGCAATATATTTCTTTTAACCCATCTTAACGCCATAACTACATCTTTTAAGCCCTGATTTCCCGGCGCCTTTTCCTCATAAAAATTGAGAAAACCTAAAGAGAGAATGAGAGAAACATGTCGTTAATACGTTTAGTAAAATTTGATATCAAGTCTTAAATATTCGTATTCGCTAGTCATTAAAATAAGGAATATTAAATAGCCGACCAAACTAGCACGAATTAGAATTAATTAAGTTTCACGACGTTTTGACCATGTGGTTGAAATGTTTTTAACGTTTTTCATTTGAAAAAGACCATATCCACATGTTCGAAACGTCGCAAAACTTAATAAATTTTAATTTCTGCTAGTTTGGCCGATTATTTAAAATTTCTAATTTATTTATATAATTTATATAAATATATAAAAATTTCAACGCTTAAATAAATCGATTTCACGAATTTTTTAATTACTTATAATTCGACAATTGTTAATAAAAACAAAATTTATAAAAAAAGTAATGAAACGTTAAAATTTATAAAAAAGTTATGATAATTGATTATTGTTTTGAAATTGGTAGTTTAAAAAAATCATACATACACGTAAATTATTTGGATCGTGGGAAGTAGAATGCGTGTGTATGTGTTTACTTAAAAAAAAGGTAGATCATTGAACGCAAGTAACATAAAATGATTTTGAGCTAATTAATAATGTACCTAGAACACCTAATCTGTAATTCAGGGTGACGAGTACCACATCCTTCCGCATGATATAATCGGGACCGTAATAAAACGAGGTACCGTCTCCCACAAAAAAGCCTCCACCATGTATCCATACCATCACAGCACTTTTCTTTGAAGGTGTTACATCGTTGGTATACACGTTCAAATAGAGACAGTCTTCTTCGCCTATGACAATGTTCGTTTTTATCTGAAGACAGACGTTTCCGTTAGACGAAGCGTCTCTGTCGCTGGACCATGGTTCTGGTGGTTGCGGATCCTACAATCAGTGTTTGTTATCTAATTAAAATTTTATAGATGATCAATTAGATAAAATTTTGCAGCATTCTTATATTGATATAGATAATAAAAATATGTATTATTTATACATATTTAAAAAATTAAAAAATTAAAAAATTAAAAATAAAAGTATGAATATATTTTTATATCCCATTTATAATTTACATTTTTTTATAACTGTGTCTATATAAGCAATCTTAAAAACAATATTATCCACAAATTATCTAGATAAATTGTCATGTAATTTTATCTTTTATCTAGATATATTTAAAACAAAATAATCTTAATCTAATCTAAAGGAGCATATAAACGACACGTGACTCGACGAGTCTGGCTCGGGACTTGCCGCGCCGCGAGCCGTGTGAATAGACTTATAGCGCGAGAAGGCTTGGCGCGGCGCGTCTTTTCTGTTGATCGTCGATAAATACATACGAGTCAAAAGAAACACGTCGCTTGTCGCTTGTCCCGTAAACGCATTCACACAAACTCGAATAGATTCGTGGTTTGTGTAATGCGCAATGGATTGGTCAAATGAATCAGTAGCGGAATTTTTACATTTGTTGAGTAGATATTCAAAATCTGCTGTTGACATTGTGCAGAAATTTTGGAATTTACCAGAAGGTTCTTTGATTAAATCGTATAGCATGTCGGTCGCGTTATATTTGTAATAAGTTACATAATTATTAAAAATAGTATAAATCATTTGCACGTTTCAAAAGCATTATAAGTGAATATATATAAAACTTACATAGTCCGACTTTTATTTAATGATACTATCACCATCGTCTTCTACGTTTTTTTCTTTAAAAAATAATCACCACTCATTAATACGTAGCAAGCTGCTGCACAAGAAATGATGTGTTCTCGTTGACAAGACATTTTTAAATGACAAATGGGTTTCTTTAAAGTTCATACAGCACAACAAGCGGCGCGGGATTCGCGAATTAACGCGCCGTGAGAACAATAAAGGTTTATAATAAGACGGATTTACGAGCTTGCACGAGCTGCGCGAAACTCGCCGAGTCACGCGTTGTTTATTTGCACCTTAACAAGTAACATGTCACAACTGTCCGGAACCGATTTGATTCTTTATCAAATATGTTGTTAAATAAATAAATCTAAAATTTAGATTTTTAAATTCCAAAATTATTTATACATTACAAAATACAAAAATTATTTATTCTATCGACTTAAAAGAGAGGAAGGGAAAGAAGAGCAAGAGAGAGAGAGAGAGAGAGAGAGAAAGAGAGAGAGAGAGAGAGAGAGAGAGAGAGAGAGAGAGAGAGAGAGAGAGAGAGAGAGAGAGAGAGAGAGAGAGAGAGAGAGAGAGAGAGAGACAGAGAGAGAGAGACATGTATGCTATTTTCTTCGTATAATTATTTACGTAATGTAAGGTTTCTGCCATTCTCAATCGCAACATTTTATTCTTATTTGGTCGAAACACCGTGTAAGCGTTGAGAAAGAAAATGTTCCTTCTCAGAATAGCAGTTAAAAAGAATTGACGTCGTTTGAACTTTTCGGCACTCGTTAGAGTCGTTGGTCGAATGCTTTGTTATGCTATTAAAAAATTAAATTTAATCTATATTTACAGAATAAATTATGTATCACAAATTCGAGAGAAATTTAAAAAAGGCAAATTAAAGAAGTTTCTGAATTTGATCCTAATTTAATTATCTGAAATCGAGATTGTTTTGTAATCGCAAACTAAACTTTTATTGTGAAATATCTGATTTTATACAATATTGTATAATAACACTTGAATAAATATAATTAATCTGAATATATATTATGTAAAAAAATCTTTATAATTTTTAGATGCTTAAATGCAGAGCACTAAACATTTTTTAAATTCTTTGGGAGAGAATTACTGCAGTTTCTTTTCTTTTTGCCAGTTAATTAATATTAAAAACTAATATTAGGAGAAATAAAATTAACTTGAGGAAACATAAAAATAATCTGAGAAAAAATACTACTAATATTATAAAAAATAACACTAATATTAGGAAAAATAAAACTAATATTAGGAAAAACAAAACTAATATGAAACATATACTATAATAATATTAGGAAAAATAATACTAATATTAGGAAAAATGTATTTTCGGCAAGTTCTAAAGTATTAAAAGTTAATATAAAATTGAGAAATGTTGCGCGCGCTCGTAGCGCGCTTTTGTTGTTCTAGTATTTAAAAAAATTAATGAAGGAATGAATTATCGATTCATTTGTCTACCTCTATTCGATATACCTTATATTGCATAAGGTCACGAGTGGATATTATTCTCGTAACTTTTTAAAAGTTTCTAGAAGTTAATAATTTTAAAGAGTGCGTGTTTTTCTATAAAGATAAAGTTTAAACGAAGTTATTACATTTTTCACATTTCTATTTTTTCCAACGTTCGAAAAGTAGAGGAGACTAAGGCTAAATATTACATGAATAAAATGTTACACCTATAAAATTATCCAACAAACAGTTTGTATCACTTGTGAAAGTGAAACATTTAACAAAGATGGTAATATTTATAATCATTCTCTGTACTTACTTGAAATCTGAGATCACCCACTGGAGGTTTAGCATATGATATTCCACGGAAGGCATTGTAAGAACCATAGATGCTTTCCTCGACGATGCCGACTAATGTCCCTCCAAACACATTTACTTTTACTCTGTTCGACAATGCGGCGAAGGATAACTCTGAAAAATTTATGCTCAGGCTAATTTATTGCAAAAAGAAAAAATAAGTATTTATAAATAAACATATATAGACATTTTCTTATCATGATCCAATAGCTGCGCGATGTCAAAATAGAGTTCGTATCTTGATAAACATGAAGACATTATGAATAAATAATTATTTTGTGCGCTACAAGGAAAATTTCGCTCTTATTAAATATATACATTGTAACAGCAATAAGACTACTATTAACAAATTCTTCGATATTGCAAACAAAATTTGACTAGTTGCAGATAAAGAATCTTTTTATTTAACAAAATTAATTTTCTTTATAAATCATTTTGCTATCTGTACAACTAATAAATTTTATTACACAAGATATATGTATGTACAACTATATCAACGAACGGATACTTTTCGATGTCATTCCTTTGGAAAAGAAAAATATAAGAAAAATTTTAAGTGTTACTAAAAGTTACAACGTAGTTCCCTTGTAGAAATTTAACATTAGTAACGCCAATTAATCACTTATTTCGAGTAATTAAAATACTGATATACAGTAATTTAAGTACTCGAAATAAGTGAGTAAGCACTCGAAATAAGAGATAAATTAGTGTTACTAGTGATAAATTTCTATAAGGGTTAGATTTTTATATAGGTATATAGAATTATATATGCAGAGTATCTCAAAATTATATTTTTTAGCAAAAATGTCGAAAGGGATGTCATAATTTTTTCTGTTTCCAATTTTTACCATGTACATACATATATCTTAGTAACTAAATCTTAAATTAAAATTCTATTATAATAAAGAATGTAGTTTTGTTAATATATCATTTTCACAAGACTTAATTTCTTATTTATAATTAGTAATAATGTATAATAATAAGGTATAATAAGGCTTAAGTTATAATTAAACGAAAATCTTAATTTTTTTAATCGCTTATAACTCGAAAATTATTGATGCCTCAACATTTCTGCCGAAAAAAATCGTCTCCAAATGATCTCCAGTGACACATCAATCTGTTCTCACTGTCAGTCTTATGTTAGTTTGTCAGTTTTTTGCACTAAAAGGTTTTTTTTCGGAGGAATTCAATTTTAGAGTTAGATTTCTTCTTATTTTATCTCATACTATAGGTCTGTGTGAAGTTTCGTATAGTTAACGAATGGTTCTGTGTGGTGGAAAATTGTTCGAATTTGGTATAACCTTTTGATAATTTAAGTCTGTTCTCCCAATCCCATCGTTGGTTTCCTTTAATAAGAATCGTCATTCGAGGTTTTTTATTAATATTTAAATAATCATACGTAGTTCCATTTTTCACTGGAGACCATGTAAAATTAGCTGAAGAAGGTGTTGGATTTCTGCAATAAATGTGTAATTGATTATTATTACGTGATTGTACGATGTCACAATAATATTCGTATAAGAAATGTCAAGTCTACGGTACCCCGTTTTAGCAAAATTTGTCCACATCTGCGTTAAGTATTCCATAATTTTATAATCCGGCGTATCACGTGCAAATGGTAACACACCGAATGTTTTTCCTATATGAGGATAAAATAAATAGCCCAGTTCCTCGAAGTGAGATGTACCTGCAAAATATTGTTACGTAAATTAATTTCAAACGTTGATAATTTTTTCCATACATTACAAGTGCATTATAAAATTTATATTTAAATGTTCTCTAAATTTTTTAAATCAAATTTCTCCAGAATTACGTGTGTCTTCTTACAATCATATATAGAAGGAAATTTCACGTTTACTTCTTTTCTAACTGTAATATTAATTTGATTCTTACATAGTTCTATTTTAATTAACAACGCAATACCTGAAAGCGGTTTTTGAAAAAATATTTTCTTCACAGGAGAGGTTTCACTTTTGTACGAAAATTTGTACAAGTAAGTCGACTCGTTAACATTAGAATTCATTTGAGTATCAATTGCTTGTATAATGCCTCTATAGATATGCTGATCGCCGATAAAATCAGAAAGATTCTTTATAGTTTTCTCCGACACTGTTTTATTACCAAAATACAATGATCGTAATTCTGGTACCGTGATCCCAAGTTGTGGTAATTGACGCAAAACTCTAGGATATATGGCTTTCTTGAAATCATAATTAATTTCCTTTAAAGTCTCGTAGTTTACCACTGAAACAATTTTTATAACGATTTTAATTTTAATTTTATTTGATTTTTTTCATTTTAATTTTAATTTCAATTTTTAATTTTTATAATGATTTTTTATTTAGGTATTATAAATATATATGTAGCTCTATTACATAGAAACAAAACGGTTTTATTAATAAATAATTAATAATCTTTTTGTACATTTAAAAGTTATATATTGATGAAATCCTGAAACTTATTAATATTGATTAAATTTATTATAACATTCTATGTTCATCAAAACATTTTCAAAATATTGCAGATCGTTTATCTATGAAAATTCTACATAAAACAGCGATTCATGATATACTAATAATTAATAATGTGTAATAATGAAAAGCACAAACAAAAATATATACTTACGGCCGACCACAATGGCATTTATGAAAAAATTGCCTTCCTGGCTATTATATCCGAACATGATTGGCATTTCAATTCCATTACGTAATAATTGCAATGGATTTTCTGGTAAAAAAGGATTCGATGATTTGGAATCCACAGTCGGCGTAAATGCAAGAAAAATATCTAAGCCAATCTGCAAGAACATAATATTCTTAATATAAAAAAATAGTTTATAGTAATTCATCGAACATTATTATTGCAATAATCGTAATAGAGCGTCAAAAAACCTTCGCTGCTATCAATTTTCTTCCGTCTATGTCTTTCAGAAATTTCAAGGCGTCTTCCGGATCAAAAGTCGCATTACCAAGCTTCTGGGCTAACATCAGACCATTATTGATAGCATCGTCTTGTTCAGTGAAAGCCCAAGGAACTGTCATGACACCACTTTGACATATTGCTTTATGAAATAAACCTGTTAAGCACATATCCGCACATAATATAATTGACACTTGAAGTTTAATATGACTTTATCATGAGATTTTTACATTTTTCCTCTTTGACTCAATATGACACATAAAATTAATCAGCGTGGTTTTAATTTTCAATTCTCAATTTAGAATCGATATTTTTTTACTGAAAGATGTTTGAGGTATCTTCTAAGTAATTTTCTACGATGTTTTAAAACGTCGATATTATATAGTTTGCAATTGAAATTTAAGTTAGAATGAAAAAAAAATCTTATTAAAAATTTTTTTGCTACAGCAAATCTATAAAATTTTTTAATTTTGTTTTGTGTAAAATGTGTTTCTAGTATTCTTAATATATGTATATTAATATTATGTCCTGTTGATTCGTACCTTTAGCTAACGGTGAAATAGTTAGATAATGAACCATCACTCCACCCGCATTTTGACCAAAAATTGTGACGTTATCGGGATCTCCACCGAATTGCAATATATTTTTTTGAACCCATCTTAACGCCATAACTACATCTTTTAAGCCCTGATTTCCCGGCGCCATTTCCTCATCAAAATTGAGAAAACCTAAAGAGAGAATGAGAGAAACATGTCGTTAATACGTTTAGTAAAATTTGATATCAAGTCTTAAATATTCGTATTCGCTAGTCATTAAAATAAGGAATATTAAATAGCCGACCAAACTAGCACAAATTAGAATTAATTAAGTCTCACGACGTTTTGACCATGTAGTTGAAATGTTTTTAACGTTTTTTATTGGAAAAGGACCACAACCACATGTTCGGAACGTCGCAAAACTTAATAAATTTTAATTTTTGCTAGTTTAGCCGATTATTTAAAATTCTTAATTTATTTATATAACTTATATAAATATATAAAAATTTCAACGTTTAAATAAATCGATTTCACGAATTTTTTAATTACTTATAATTCGACAATTGTTAATGAAAACAAAATTTATAAAAAAGTAATGAAACGTTAAAATTTATAAAAAAGTTATGATAATTGATTATTGTTTTGAAATTGGTAGTTTAAAAAAATCATACATACACGTAAATTATTTGGATCGTGGGAAGTAGAATGCGTGTGTATGTGTTTACTTAAAAAAAAAATAGATCATTGAACGCAAGTAACATAAAATGATTTTGAGCTAATTAATAATGTACCTAGAACACCTAATCTGTAATTCAGGGTGACGAGTACCACATCCTTCCGCATGATATAATCGGGACCGTAATAAAACGAGGTACCGTCTCCCACAAAAAAGCCTCCACCATGTATCCATACCATCACAGCACTTTTCTTTGAAGGTGTTACATCGTTGGTATACACGTTCAAATAGAGACAGTCTTCTTCGCCTATGACAATGTTCGTTTTTATCTGAAGACAGACGTTTCCGTTAGACGAAGCGTCTCTGTCGCTGGACCATGGTTCTGGTGGTTGCGGATCCTACAATCAGTGTTTGTTATCTAATTAAAATTTTATAGATGATCAATTAGATAAAATTTTGCAGCATTCTTATATTGATATAGATAATAAAAATATGTATTATTTATACATATTTAAAAAATTAAAAAATTAAAAAATTAAAAATAAAAGTATGAATATATTTTTATATCCCATTTATAATTTACATTTTTTTATAACTGTGTCTATATAAGCAATCTTAAAAACAATATTATCCACAAATTATCTAGATAAATTGTCATGTAATTTTATCTTTTATCTAGATATATTTAAAACAAAATAATCTTAATCTAATCTAAAGGAGCATATAAACGACACGTGACTCGACGAGTCTGGCTCGGGACTTGCCGCGCCGCGAGCCGTGTGAATAGACTTATAGCGCGAGAAGGCTTGGCGCGGCGCGTCTTTTCTGTTGATCGTCGATAAATACATACGAGTCAAAAGAAACACGTCGCTTGTCGCTTGTCCCGTAAACGCATTCACACAAACTCGAATAGATTCGTGGTTTGTGTAATGCGCAATGGATTGGTCAAATGAATCAGTAGCGGAATTTTTACATTTGTTGAGTAGATATTCAAAATCTGCTGTTGACATTGTGCAGAAATTTTGGAATTTACCAGAAGGTTCTTTGATTAAATCGTATAGCATGTCGGTCGCGTTATATTTGTAATAAGTTACATAATTATTAAAAATAGTATAAATCATTTGCACGTTTCAAAAGCATTATAAGTGAATATATATAAAACTTACATAGTCCGACTTTTATTTAATGATACTATTCACCATCGTCTTCTACGTCTTTTTTTCTTTAAAAATAATCACCACTCATTAATACGTAGCAAGCTGCTGCACAAGAAATGATGTGTTCTCGTTGACAAGACATTTTTAAGTGACAAATGGGTTTCTTTAAAGTTCATACAGCACGACAAGCGGCACGGGATTCGCGAATTAACGCGCCGTGAGAATAATCAAAGTTTGTAATAAGACGAATTGATGAGCTTGTACGAGTTGCGTGGGATTCGCGAATTAACGCGCCGTGAGAACAATAAAGGTTTATAATAAGTCGAATTCACGAGCTTGCACGAGCTGCGCGAAACTCGCCGAGTCACGCGTTGTTTATTTGCACCTTCACAAGGAACATGTCACAACTGTCCGGAACCGATTTGTTTCTTTATCAAATATGTTGTTAAATAAATAAATCTAAAATTTAGATTTTTAAATTCCAAAATTATTTATACTTTACAAAATACAAAAATTATTTATTCTATCTATTTAAAAGAGAGGGAAGGAGGGAAGAGTGAGAGAGAGAGAGAGAGAGAGAGAGACATGTATGTAGTTTTCTTCGTATAATTATTTACGTAATGTAACATTTCTACCATTCTCAATCGCAACATTTTATTCTTATTTGTTCGAAACACCGTGTAAGCGTTGAGAAAGAAAATGTTCGTTCTCAGAATAGCAGCTAAAAAGAATTAACGCCGTTTGAACTTTTCGACACTCGTTAGAATCGTTGGTCGAATGCTTTGTTATGCTATTAAAAATTAAAATTTAATATATATTTACAGAACAAATTATATATCACAAATTCGAGAGAAATTTAAAAAAGGCAAATTAAAGAAGTTTTTGAATTTGATCCTAATTTAATTATCTGAAATCGAGATTGTTTTGTAATCGCAAACTAAACTTTTATTGTGAAATATCTGATTTTTATACAATATTGTATAATAACACTTGAATAAATATAATTAATCTGAATATATATTATGTAAAAAAATCTTTATAATTTTTTAGATGCTTAAATGCAGAGCACTAAAAGTGTTTTAAATTCTTTGGGAGAGAATTACTGCAGTTTCTTTTCTTTTTGCTAGTTAACTAATATTAAAAACTAATATTAGGAGAAATAAAATTAACTTGAGGAAACATAAAAATAATCTGAGAAAAAATACTACTAATATTATAAAAAATAACACTATATTAGTGTTTGCGCGTACGCTCGATTGCTGACGTTGACGCTCACGCACGAAGCTACGGATCCTGACAATCGGGTTGTAAATCCGATCGTCGATATCCGTCTCGTGTATAGATTGCACAGGAAGATTCAAAGTGGACTGTATCTTAAGGAGGGTGGACGCGCTCCGATTGGTGCGCAGGATGGGTAACGATTTAAGCCACGTGCCGAATCGAGAACCAGAATACGGAATATATGCACAATTACACAAAAACAATCCATTTATTAACTAAATTTGTCCGAGAGTCACAATGTACATAACCGCAAATTAATTTGAAACCTTTACATAAAATCTTTATCTATTAACGAATAAAATAGTCACCGCGAAAACACGTACGACGTGGTTGTTAAGCAGTCCGAAATGTCTCACTATATGGTATCTAGCATGTGTTGCATGGACACCACCGAAAAACTATTGTTGCATAACAATTGCTAGTTACGATGAACACGCTCGAAACTCGTGTATCGAATCGTTCGAAATCTCACATTAAGATTTCGTACACGTTGCCGATTGCGGCGAATGCGATATTAAATCGCGAACCGAAATGTTTCAATTAACATGAAGAATCACTGATCACATAAATGTTACAGTGCGTTGAGCACCACGGGCTCGAAGGGATGAAAAAAAGGAACGCAAACACAATCACGACATCAGGTATCAGTCCCAGATGACTGATCACGTGATCTGCGCGCTCCAACTCACGTGATCTACGCGTGCCAAGCGAACACGCGCGAGCCTCATGTATACAATTATTACGTTCGTGGAAACAATCGGACTTCGGCACCTTGATATTTCACCATTGCGTGAATTCTGGTCCCAAATCACTGAATTCCGCTTCGTTAACAATGTTTTGAGCGCAAATTTTATGTCGCGTATATAACGGCGCACCTTGTTGCTACCGTTAATTAGCGAATGTCAAAGTGAACGTATTTCACATCTCACTTATCACTGAATCACAGCAGAATATCAATCTGATTATTTTTTATTAATCAAACGAACTACGAACAATTAGAATCGCGACGGAAAACCCACATGTGACTAATCGCAAAGCCGTGCAGGAGCGAATGCCCAGGTTCGATGACGAGGCAGTTCATCCCCGATCGATTCGATAATCGAACGCTTGAAGCGCGGCGTGTAGGTTCAGTGCGTGCTGCCCCGTGCCGGATTAACTCAAAAATTATAGAATTTCAAATTATCGACCTACTTCTTCATTCTCTTTGAACAAATAATAAAGTTCTTGACCTGGGGTCAACTTACTTCTGAACATACCGCCCGCCTCGAAATAAAGATTTCGAAATGTCTTACAGTAACTAAAGAACTTACCCCAGGTTTGGGTTTTTTTTTTTTGTTACATAAAGAAAAAAAAAGAAAAAAAATAAAACGTTAATCGCTTAATGATTTTTCGAGTGAGATTCAGTGATTACATATTGAACAATAACAGGCATTTGGTTGCTTACATGATTGAATAACAATATTAAGACATAGATTCTTACTAAACTTACATTAACGCGACGCGAGTGGTCTTGAGTAGTCAAGGATATTGAGCGCCGCCCGCCTTAACTAACTACGAAGGACTTGACTTGTCCTAATTATGCGAACGATTGAGACGTTGCATGCGCATTATGGAGTTGGGTTTTCCGCAGTACCTGTCTTACGTTCCGACAGTTGATCGATTAAGTTAATATCGATAGGTAGTAGGCACAATTTAGTTATTGGTCGCTTGTATTCGGACGTCGCTGTTTTAACTGAGACGACTCGAGTTAACCCGTCAGAGCCCGGATGACAATGAATAACTCGCCCTAATTCCCATTACACGGTGGGAGAAGGGGGTTTTGAATCAAAACCATTGAGCCAACCTGAATCGGAGGCGTTTCTCGACGCCACTTTGATCTTTGTTGAAGAGTATTGACATAATCTGACTGCCACTGCTTCCAAAAACGCTCCGTAATCTGTCTGAGTAATTGCCATCGCGACAATCTGTTTTCGTTCAATTGTAGAACGGAAGGTTCCGGATTCGTAGTAATGGCAGTCCCAATCAAAAGGTGACCTGGGGTCAGGAACTCGTAGTCATCTGGAGTATCATTGAGTGGAGAAAGCGGCCTTGAGTTGAGGATAGCCTCAATTTTGCACAACACTGTCGTGAACTCCTCAAATGTCAATGCGTGTGAGCTTACAATTCGACGAAGGTGGTGTTTGACACTCTTCACTCCTGCCTCCCATAGTCCTCCAAAATGAGGAGCATGAGGCGGGATGAAACTCCAAGTGATCCTATCTGTTGCGATTAAATTGAGAAAATCCGTATTGCGTTGAGCATCCCGATACGCGCGGGATAGCTCTTTATCGGCTCCTGTGAATGTTGTACCGTTATCCGAATACATAACTGCTGGCAAGCCTCGTCTGGCGCAAAATCGTTGAAATGCGTTCAAAAATGCTGGCGTTGAATAATCGCTGACCAACTCGAGATGAATGGCTCGAGTTGCCAAACATATGAAAACGGCTATGTAAGCCTTTCGTGAGGTGATTCCTCGACCAGCAGAGGCTCGAATGAGCACTGGACCGGCATAATCGATGCCGCTGTGCAAAAACGCCCTCGTTGGCGTTGAGACTCGAGTTGATGGGAGTTGACCCATTAACTGATTGGCTACCTGAGCTCTTTCTCGCGTGCATCGAACGCACCTGTAGATAACTGATTTAACTAAAGGCCTAGATTTTATAATCCAAAATTCTTGGCGAATTTTAGACAGGGTAGACTGAAGACCGGCGTGCAGCGAGGCTATGTGCGTGTAGCGAATGAGCATTGTAGTAATTGGATGATCAGCTAGTAGAACTGGATGTTTGGATTGAAATGGTAGATGAGAATGCTCCAATCTTCCGCCA